GTTACTGGCCTGGAGTGGTAAAGTGTCTTACCATGAAGGACGCAATAAGGCTGCCCTCCCCAGAAACCTTTTGCAAAGGCTTTAGGACTACATCTAGGAGAACCGCAAATGCCAGGGAAAAGTAATCCTTTCACATGCTTGCTTTTAAACCATGTATAGTATTTTAAAAGGTACACTCACCAGAGGTCCCTTCTCCGCCTGCTGGGTCCAGGAGGCAGCCTTGGGTGGGTTCGGGGGTACTGGCTCCAGGTCCAGGGTGAGAAACAGTTCCTGGCTGTCGGGAAAATCGGTTTCTCCGCTTGTTTGCTGTGAGCTATCTACAACCTCCTCATCATCATCATCTTCTTCGTCCCCAAAACCTGCTTCCGTATTGCCTCCATCTCCATTGAAGGAGTCAAACAGCACGGCTGGGGTAGTGGTGGCTGAACCCCCTAAAATGGCATGCAGCTCATCATAGAAGCGGCATGTTTGGGGCTCTGACCCGGATCGGCCATTCGCCTCTCTGGTTTTCTGGTAGGCTTGCCTCAGCTCCTTCAGTTTCACGCGGCACTGCTTCGGGTCCCTGTTATGGCCTCTGTCCTTCATGCCCTGGGAGATTTTCAGAAAGGTTTTGGCATTTCGAAAACTGGAACGGAGTTCTGATAGCACGGATTTCTCTCCCCAAACAGCGATCAGATCCCGTACCTCCCGTTCGGTCCATGCTGGAGCTCTTTTGCGATTCTGGGACTCCATCATGGTCACCTGTGCTGATGAGCTCTGCATGGTCACCTACAGCTTGCCACGCTGGCCAAACAGGAAATGAGATTCAAAAGTTCGCGGTTCTTTTCCTGTCTACCTGGCCAGTGCATCTGAGTTGAGAGTGCTGTCCAGAGCGGTCATAATGGAGCACTCTGGGATAGCTCCCGGAGGCCAATACCATCGAATTGTGTCCACAGTACCCCAAATTCGAGCCGGCAAGGTCGATTTAAGCGCTAATCCATTTGTCAGGGGTGGAGTAAGGAAATCGATTTTAAGAGCCCTTTAAGTCGAAATAAAGGGCTTCATTGTGTGGACGGGTGCAGGTTTACATCGATTTAACGCTGCTAAATTCGACCTAAAGTCCTAGTGTAGACCAGGGCTAAGGCCTTTGGCTAAGCAGCAGAGGCAGCTATAAGGTGGGAAGCGAATGGTCACATCCTCACATTCCAACCTAGTCACATGGAAAGAAGATGCTATTGGGCTGTTAGGAATACAATCTTGTCCTGATAATGCCTATGGCCTCCAGAGAAAGGGAAGTGTCTAGAAAATGTAAAAGGAAACTTAGTTTGATAGCATCCTGTCTGGCAAGAACTCACTTATCAATAGCTGGGATGTGAAATACTCATTTCTTTGTTGTTCTAACATTGTAATCCCCATTTCCCTATTGTTTGTCTGTATAACCTCTGTCTGGTTCTGTAATTGTTTCTGTCTGCTGTATAATTAATTTTGCTAGGTATAAACTAATTAAAATAGTAAAATATAATTAGTTAAATAATCATGTTACAATATGTTAAAACTAGTTAATTAAATTTCAATAAAATAATTAGTTAATATATAGCTAAGCAAAACTCAAGTTTTACTATATAGTCTGGATCCAATCAGGAGGTAAGGAGTGGGGAAATGAGAACAGGGAATGGGGTGGGGAAATTGGAATCATGTTTTGCTAAGGGGGGGAATGGGAACAGGGACACAAGTAAGGCTCTGTGGTGTCAGAGCTGGGAAGGGGGACACTAAGGAAGGAAACTGGAATCATGCTTGCTGGAAGTTCACCCCAATAAACATCTAATTGTTTGTACCTTTGGACTTCGGGTATTGTTGCTCTCTGTTCATGCAAGAAGGACCAGGGAAGTAAGTGGGTGAAGGAATAAGCCCCCTAACAGCCTCGGAGGAAGAGGGGGTGCAAGTGCGGGGGCTCAGGGAGAAGGATCATAGAATCATAGAATATCAGGGTTGGAAGGGACCTCAGGAGGTCATCTAGTCCAACCCCCAGCTCAAAGCCAGGACCAATCCCCAACTAAATCATCCCAGCCAGGGCTTTGTCAAGCCTGTCCTTAAAAATATCTAAGGAAGGAGATTCCACCACCTCCCTAGGTAACGCATTCCAGTGTTTCACCACCCTCCTAGTGAAAAAGTATTTCCTAATATCCAACATAAACCTCCCCCACTGCAACTTGAGACCATTACTCCTTGTTCTGTCATCAGCTACCACTGAGAACAGTCTAGATCCATCCTCTTTGGAACCCACTTTCAGGTAGTTGAAAGCAACTATCAAATCCCCCCTCATTCTTCTCTTCCGCAGACTAAACAATCCCAGTTCCCTCAGCCTCTCCTCATAAGTCATGTGTTCCAATCCCCTAATCATTTTTGTTGCCCTCTGCTGGACTCTTTCCAATTTTTCCACATCCTTCTTGTAGTGTGGAGCCCAAAACTGGACACAGTACTCCAGGTGAGGCCTCACCAATGTCGAATAGAGGGGAATGATCACGTCCCTTGATCTGCTGGCAATGCCCCTACATATACAGCCCAAAATGCCATTGGCCTTCTTGGCAACAAGGGCACACTGTTGACTCATATCCAGCTTCTCGTCCACTGTAACCCCTAGGTCCTTTTCTGCAGAACTGCTGCCGAGCCATTCGGTCCCTAGTCTGTAACGGTGCATGGGATTCTTCCGTCTTAAGTGCAGGACTCTGCATGTGTCCTTGAACCTCATCAGATTTCTTTTGGGCCAATCCTCTAATTTGTCTAGGTCCCTCTGTATCCTATCCCTACCCTCCAGCGTATCTACCTCTCCTCCCAGTTTAGTGTCATCTGCAAACTTGCTGAGGGTGCAATCCACACCATCCTCCAGATCATTTATGAAGATATTGAACAAAACTGGCCCGAGGACCGACCCGTGGGGCACTCCACTTGGGATGGCATGGTGCGGGGGGGTCAGCTCAATGGTTTGGGCACATACACACTTTTAGGAAGCTTCCACCACTCCTGCTCCCCACACTGGGAATCATACTTCCAGCTCAAAGTGTAGATGTACCCTTAGGTGCCTATGTTCCATTGAAAGTCAATGGAACATAGGTTCCTAAATCACTGAGGTGCTTGTACAAATGTTACCTCATATTTTCACAAGTCTGTACAGCCCTTTGGGTGCTGAAAGAGTTAATCATAATTTGTGTGGCATCCTGGAAAATGTCATCAAACATGACACTGCACCCTAGTGAGGTTCGCTGTCTCTTTTAAATACATGTAATTAACTTTCCACTTATATCAGTCATCCATTATATAGTATGCATATACCCAGGAATAGAGACAGGTGAACTTCAGATGGTTCAGAGGGTTGGTTCAGATAGATACAAAACCAAGATCAGTTCTGTGAAACATACCCTCTTGGGTCTGGAGAGTTGGTGCTGAAATCTTCTTGAGAGAAATCCCCTTTCCTCTCCTGTGATTTTCACTATTGCCTGCTTCTTTCCTAACTCACCAAAGCAGGGACCTACAAGGACTGATTTTAAGAAACTTTAAATCCCTTTTCTTAAGTGTACACTGAAATGAAATTGGGATGGATCAGTGTAACTCTCTGATCATTTGGACGGGCACCCCTCCCTCCCTCCTCCACTATATTAATGTTGGCCAGAAGTCAGATGATGAAAACACAAGTGGACTTCATGGGAGTGTCAGATTTTCACGTAAGGAGCTGCCTTTTACTGTGCATCTCTTACTATGTATGGCTGCTAGCGTGCTGAGACCACAGCCTACCATGCTGACCAACATTGTCGCATTGTTTCCTTGTACTCCACTATCCGCCTGGCTGTATCCATCCATTGGCTCTTGTCTTATACTTAGCATGTGAACTATTTTGGGACGGGACCATCTTTTTCTTCTGTGTTTGTACAGCTTCTAGGACAATGAGGTCCTGGTCCCTGATAGGGGCGCCTCGATGCTAGGAAAATACAAATAATAAATAATAGTAATAAGATCCAGTGTTTTGCATGATGGGGCCTGATCTTGGTTATGGCTTCTAGATACCTACTGTACTGCAAATAATAATGAGACTATTCCCAGGAAGCACCATTCAAACTAAATAACTCCATTAATAAAATGAAATAATGCTCACATTCCAATTACCCTGTTGACCTTTAGACAGGCTCCTTGTTATAGGTGTGACGGTTCAGAGCCAGACCCTGGGAGAGGATATTTGTCATGGAGACCTCCTGCGCCCTGAGTTATAGTTTTTATCAGAGCAATAACTGTGGCAAAGTGATTCAGATTCCTGATAGCGCACGAGGCATTGTCCCCAAGTCCTCCTTTTATTGGGGCACCAGAGCTAAGTAACGGGAAACTCCTCTTTCCAGGGAATGATTATGGGCTTGTGGGTGCAGTCACAGGTTATAGTGAGAGGTAGTGGCCATGAAGGAATCGGAAGCAAGGGAGGTCTGAGGTGGTCTTATCTGTGGACCTAGCTACATGACAGAATTCCCCTCTCTGCCCAGGGACAAAAGAGAAGGGAATTCATCTCGGTTTGGAGTCAGAATCAGAGGGATACAGAGTACAAGGGTCAGAGTACATTTTGAAGGGTCATTCTCATCACAGGGTTTCTTGTGCTTACAACCCTTGCCAGTGATTAGCTCCATGGCAGGGAAGCATATGTAGGTATGATGGCGTGGGGCTGCACTGTTATGCTTGCCCTAAGGGCTCCCACAGTCATCTGCCCTGCTGGTGCCAGGACTCTCAGGGAGGTGCAGTTTATCAGTTGCCTTGATGAATAGTATTTGATTCAGTTCTGGGGCTGGGCCTGCCTGAGGTTCCTCCAGCCAGCTGCAGGGTGATTACCCCACTGACATCAGAAGTTTTTACTTCATCTCCTGGCACCAGGACTTTATTTTCATAACAGCACCAGGACTAGTGGAACTGGAATAGGCGTGTCCCACTCCCCGCCCTCCCCATCCTGGTTACTTTTAAAGCTGCCCTTAGAGAATGAGTGCAGACCTGCTGCTTGCCCGAGATTACAGGAGCTGCCTGGCATTACTCTCCACCTGGGTGAGGTAGGAATTTCCTTCCTTCAGCCACTATTTCTGAGGTCTCAGCTTCCATACACAATACCGATAAGGTAATTCAGAGCTGCGCAGCCAAGGCTAAGCTATGGGGTTGGGGTTTGCAAACAGCCTCCGAGTGGAGGCAGGGAACTCAGACCTTTCTCAAGGGTGACCAAGTTGAACAGCCTGGTATTGTGGACAGAGCCTTGGCTGGGGAGTCTGGCTTCTGTTCCTGATCCAGCCACTGACCTACTGTGTAATTTTGGAGAAGTCACTTTGCCTTTCTGGGTATGTCTACACAGCCTTTTGGAGCCCATGGCAGCTAGCCTCCCAGCCCAGGTTGCCAGACTCAGGCTAGCGGGGCTCCTGCTAGCACTATAGCTGTGTAAACAGCATGTTGAAGTTATGGCTCAGGCTGAAACATGGGCTCTGAAGCCTACCCCCATGCTAGACTCCCTTTGTGACTTGGTTTCCCCACCTGTTACCTGATAATAATGCTTTCTTTCCGTGCAAAGTGCTTTGAGATTGACAGATGTAAAGCCCTTATAAGTATTGTATACTACAGTATTAAAATGAGTGTGTAGTGGGGAGCGGGCATAATCCCAAGAGAAAAGATTTAGAGGGGGCATGCCTCATCCCCTTCAGCTCAGAGGTGTCCCTGAATCTCCAGCCTAAGATGTGGGGGACAGAGGCATACATCCGGAAAATTTCACACACACACACACTCTGAAAAGGGTGCCTTCCCGTTTTAAAAGAGATGTCAGGTCTCAGGGATAGCTGTGGACTGCTGTACATATCAATGCTATTACACAAGTAATCACTGATTATAAAAAATATGTGTGAGAAGAGAAATTAGCAGGTGACTTCTGACCCCCATCTCAAAAATTTTAGAACTCTTCCCATCCCATCTGGTCAGAGCTTGGCCAAAGCTGGGTGCTGCACTGGTGAATCTCTAATATTTCTTTCACTACCAGCGTGTGCTGTTCAGTGTATCTCACTGTCTGCGTGTCTGATGCCTGTCTCTGTGTCCCACGCTTGCTCTTTGCGATCTCCAGCTGTTTGTACATTGTGCCCCTGTCTGTATGTCTGCTAGAGCTGGTCAAAGAGTGAAATAATCTGAGGTGTGAATTTTTATGTGAATACAAGTGTTGAATTTACTTCCCTGAAATTCACGTTATTCCTTACTCACATGTGTTTGGACAACTGCCAGGCATTTGTATAAATAATCAAAAATCCCCAAAGTTTCATGAATGACAATTCATCTGAAAATCTCCAGTGGACATGCATTATCGGGATTCACTATTTGTGACTGGTCATTGTCCTGTTTAAAATTGTTCAGCCCTCCAAGTCAGGAATAGAAACTCTGCTTTATGACTTAGATAGCCAAACACAGAGTAAATAGCCCTAGGGAGTAGCTGGAAAACATCCTACAGAAAGAAAATTTGTCATCCCAATTCACAAAATACATTAGAAACAAATCAGGATTAGCTTGTGAACAATTTGCTAACCAAAGGGATTAAATTCATAAATAATATTGTTTGTAGTGACTATGGTAATTCAGGTTTCAGAGTAGCAGTCGTGTTAGTCAGTATTCGCAAAAAGAAAAGGAGGACTTGTGGCACCTTAGAGACTAACAAATTTATTTGAGCATAAGCTTTCGTGAGCTACAGCTCACTTCTGAATGCATCCAATGAAGTGAGCTGTAGCTCACGAAAGCTTATGCTCAAATAAATTTGTTAGTCTCTAAGATGCCACAAGTACTCCTTTTCTTTTTATGGTAATTCAGTCAGTTCTGGTGTCTGGTTTAGTGGTGGGATCTGTGGAGACAACATCACACCACAGTGCTCTCCACCTGGTACCAGAGGCCTTGATTCTATTCTCCCCAGTTCCTTCCCACGGACTTCCAGATTTCCTGTATATTTACATACTTATCACTTTTGTAACCATTGTGTTTTTAGAGAGCAGTACATTTTGCATTTCCCTGAATGTGGGGTGAGATGCCGAGAAGAGATACAATACACCATTACCAGACAGTTCACCCTGGGGCATGCATAGGTGTGCTTCATGTGAAATTCAAGAGTCCCACCCTTTGTTGGATTTTCTATATTTTTTTTTTTAAGGACTCAGTCCTGCTTCATTGAAGTCAGCGGAAAGGATCCCAGGACTGACCCACAAATGGAGAAAATGGTCTAGAGAAAACAAAACCGTGGGCAGGGGATTGCACCTAACAATGAACATCATGGGATCACTCAACATTTCTTTACATATCAGAAAGTAGAGTGCAAAGGCCATTTCCCCCTTTGAAGTCACTTTTAAGACTTAATAATAACAACAAGCTTGAGCATATTGGGGTGTTAGAGACACATCCTACATAGGATCTTGAACTGCGGACCCTCAAAGCAGCATCACTACTGCCTGAGACAAAGAAGAATGTTTCCGAGATATTAACAACATTAGCACCGACATTCTCTTTCAGGCCTCCAGCCACTGTAGGGCAATGGGGAAGCATTTGGGGTGAACAGGTCTCTTTTGTATGTTTTCTATTGCCAGACTGACATAGAAATAATAGAAATGTAATGCAGGACTAGAAGGGACCTTGACAGGCCATCTAGTCCAGTCCTCTGCATTAAGGCAGGACTAAGTATTATCTAGACATGGGGTTCTCAATCTTTTTCTTTCTGAGACCCCCCTCAACATGCTATAAAAACTCCAGGGACTGGGGGAGGGAGCAGGGGAGGAGGGAGGACTCGGAGCTCCAGGCCAGGATGGGATCCTTGGGCACAGACATAGTTTGACTTCTGTTTTGGGGGAGCAAGGGCCGGCGGGGCTTGAGCCACCTCCACTCCCTGACTCACCTCAGCAGGCCACCCAGCCTGCCTGGGCTGTGCAGGGACGCAACCAAAAAATTTAATTCAAAGTGGGGATTCAGCTCAAAAAGTTTGAAAACCACTCAGGGTGCAGGCAGGAGGGTAGCTAGGGGCTGTGTACAGTTGGGGTGTAGCTAAGGATGCAGGCAGGCGGTAGCTAGGGGCTGTGTGTGGGCAAAGGGGTAGCTCAGGGCGCAGGGAGGGGGTAGCAAGGGGCTGTCTGCTGGGAGGGCTCCCATTGCGGTGGCTGCTCCCTGAGGGCTCTGCTGGCCCGGAGCCAAGTCCCCCTGCCCAGGCAGCTCTTACTGGCTGCACAAGCAGTCACAGGGGGCTGGGAGCTGCGGAGCAGCCACAACCCTGGGCACCAGCAGCAGATGGGGGAATGCCACGACTACCTGCTCCATGGCACCACCAGCCAGAGGAGCAGCTGCCCCGCACTGCCTGGCTCCAACTTCCCCTCTGTCTATGACCTGGCAAGAGGGCGGGGCCTGAAGGGGGCTGGGGGAGAGGAGGAGGTGGTGGGGTGGAGCTGCCCCAGGACTGCCCCACTCTGGGTAAGGCACTGCAGTTGTGGTGGCAACACCCTCGTGCCCCCTCAACTCTGTCCATGGGCTCAGGGCGTCTGCCTGCATCAAGGCTTCAGCCCCATGCCGCTCCCAGCTTCAGCCCCACAGCTCCCAGCTTCAGCCTCACGGGGGAGGGCGGGGAGCCAGGGCTCAGGGCTTCAGCCCCACGGCTCCCAGTTTCAGCCCCGTGGCGGGGAGCTAGGGCTCGGGGCACTGCGTTTCAGCCACGGTGCCCCGCAGCCCCCCTGAAAGGGCTCACAGACCCCAAGGGGGCTGTGGACCACCAGTTGAGAACCGCTGATCTAGACCATCCCAGAGAGGTGTTTGTCTAACCTGTTCTGAAAAACTTTCCAAAGATGGAGATTCCACAGCCTCCCTAGGTAATCTGTTCCAGTGCTTAACCACCCTGACAGTCAGGAAGTTTTTCCTCATGTCTAATCTAAACCTCCCTTGCTGCAATTTAAGCCCATTGCTTCTTGTCCTGTTCTCAGTGGTTCAGGAGAACAATTTACCACCCTCCCATTCATAACAACCTTTTACATACTTGAAACAGTTATCATGCCCCCCCCCCCCTCAGTTTTTTCTTCTCCAGACTAACCAGCCCAATTTTTCCAATCTTTACTCACAGGTCATATTTTTTAGACCATTCATATTTTTTGTTGCACTTCTCTGGACTTCCTACAATTTGTCCACATCTTTCTCAAAGTGTGGTGCCCAGTATTGGACACAGTACTCCAGTTGAGGCCTTATCAGTGCTGAGTAGAGTGGGAGAATTACTTCTCGTGTCTTGCTTACAACACTCCTGCTAATACATCCCAGAATGATGCTTGCTTTTCTTGCAACAATATTACGCTGTTGACTCATATCTAGCTTGTGACCCCTAGATTCCTTTCCGCAGTACTCCTTCCTAGGCAATCATTTCCCATTTTATATTTATTCAATTGATTACTCCTTCCTAAGTGGAGTACTTTGCATTTGTCCTCATTGAACTTCATCCTATTTATTTCAGACCCTTTCTCCTGTTTGTCCAGATCATTTTGAATTCTAATCCTGTCCTCCAAAGTGCTTGCAACCCCTCCCACTTTAATTTAACTGTCATCCCCTCCCAGCTTAATTTAACTCCCATCTATTTGACACTGTCTACACAAGAAGTTTGATCAGTATAACTGTGTCACACAAGGGTGTGGATGTTCCACACCTCTGAGAGATCAGTAGTTATGCCAACAGAAGTTTGTGGTTAAGACCAGGACTGAGTAATTCTTAATTTTTTCTTTCCTGTGTTAGCCTCAGATCCTGCCCCTACTGATGTTCACTATGTTAGGCCTTGTCTGCCCTGGCACTTTACAGCGCTGCAACTTTCTCGCTCAGGGGTGTGAAAAAATACACCCCCTGAGCGCAGCAAGTTCCACCGCTGTACAGCGCCGGTGTAGACAGTGCCCTAGTGCTGGGAGCCGCGCCCCTTGTGGAGGTGGGTTTTTTAGAGCACTGGGGAGAGTTCCCTCCCAGCGCTCTGCCACGACCACACAAGCCACATTAAAGTGCTTTAACGTTGCCAGTGTAGACTTCGCCCTGAGTCATCCGATCACTGTTAACCTTTCTGAAAAGTGAAACAAAAGAGGAATTTAACACTCTGGCCATTACTGAATTTATGTTATTGTCTCTCCCTCCTCATTGAGTAATGGAGCTACCCTGTCCTTGCTCTTCCTCTTGCTTGTAGTGTATTTGTAAAATGTTTTCTTGTTACCCTTTAGGCATGAAAAATAGGAATTAGTTTGTGCCCCTTGGTTACTGGCCTTCCCCAAAACTATTTAGGTTGGACAGGAGAACGGTAAAAGGAGCTATGATGGAGGTATACAAAATAATTAAGTGAATGAAGAAAGCTAATTGAGGGCTTCAGGTCACACAGTCCTATAAAGCAAGGACAAGAGGGTGCTTTGAATAAGACAACAAAGTGAAAACTAACAAAAAACAAGTCCATTTTCATGCTATGTATAAGTAACCTTAGCAACTCATTGCTGCAGGCTATGGAGGCAAATACTGTAGCTTAGTGAATTTCAGAAAAGGATTAAGTATGTCTATGAATAACAATAATGCCTGCCGTTCCATTACCTAGGATAAGAGTTGCAAGGTTTATCAATCTTTATGCATCACAGCATTCAGCTAGAGTCCAGAAGAAAACTCTCCCCATTAGAGTATTGCACAATTAGAGACATTCTGAGGTGGGGCTAGGGAGTGATTCACATTCCTCTAAGGTCTGCTTGGCACCTGCCACTGTCAGAGATGTTATGCCAGACTAGACCAGCCATTGGTTAGTTGTCATGCAGTAATTCTTACAAATAGCCTGACTTACAAATAGAAATAGGTATCGGATCCTATCCTCCTTCTTTCCCCAGCTGCTGTAAAACTAAACAAGGTTTATGCTACATTGGTGTCTCAACTTCTTCTGCAGATCTTTGGAAGAATATTCATAGAGTCATAGAGTTTAAGGACAGAAGAGACCACTAGATCGTCTCGTCTGATCTCCTGTATATCGTCGGACACCAGCACTACCCAGCTCCACACGCTAAACCCAACTCCCAGCTGAGGGCTGTTCTGTGAGTCACCATGGCTTCCACACCTCCTCCAGGCTGCAACAAGAACATTGACTCTGACTATTATTTACTCTGTGACACTGAACAAGCCTGGGGCATCGTCCTGGAAACACTGGCTACAGCTGGTGTCATTGTCACCATCAGTTTCATGCTCTTGCTACTCATCTTCACTGGTAAGGTCCAAGACTCCACCAAGCGAAGCATGATCCCTATCTATTTCCTCTTCCTCTTAGGCACCCTAGGGATCTTCAGCCTCACTTTTGCTTTCATCATTAAACTCAATGTCCGGACCGGCCCCACCCGCTTCTTTCTCTTTGGTGTTCTCTTCGCCCTCTGCTTTTCCTGCCTCCTGACCCATGCTTTCAACCTTGTCAAACTGGTGAGGGGGAAGGCCCCCTTTTGCTACCTGGTGTTGCTAGTTATTGCCATTAGCCTCACTGTAGTGCAGATTATTATAGCCATAGTGTATGTAGTCGTCACAGTGGCCAGACAAAATATGAACTTTACTCAGATGAGTCCAGGACAACGCAATATGGACTTTGTCATGCTTCTGATCTACGTGCTCCTCTTGATGGCGCTCACCTTCCTGGTCTCCATGTTCACCTTCTGTGGGACATACAAAGGCTGGAAGAGGCATGGAGCACATATCTATGTCACTGGCCTGTTCTCCATAGCCATCTGGGTGGTGTGGATCACCATGCTCATGCGAGGCAACCCAGAATTAAAGAAACAGCCCATCTGGGATGATCCTGTCATCAGCATCGCTCTGGTGTCCAACGGATGGGTCTTCCTGATGATGTACATGGTGCCTGAATTCTGCTTCTTCACCAGCCCACGCAATCCTGAGGACTACGCTCCAGAAAACTATTCTTTCCAACCTAAACTCATGAAGCAGAGCTTTGGAGTGGAGAACCAAGCCTATATCAAGGAGGAGACCACAACAGGTATGATGAAGTGTATTGTTACATAGCATCCCTGCTTGCAGTGCCATAGAATGCAGAAGAGAGAGAGAGAGCACCAACCATGAGTTCGAAGGTATAGAGTGGTTTTAAGAAGGGATTTGAAGACAGTAAATGAGGTAGGAAAAGGGAGAGTTCCAGATGGATGCGGAAACCACAGGTGAAAGAGAACTTCCCAACCTGGAGAGAGGGAAAGATTATGGACAAGAAGGAGGCTAAGAATGGGGGAGAGGAGCGAGCGAGCAGGAGATTACATGAATATCAGGACACAGAGGTGATCTGGGGGGGACCCTGTTGAAAGTTGGGAAAACCAGGAGGGTAAACATTCTGGGCAGTTTTTTTGTTTGTTTGTTTTTCACTAGTATCAGCATTGGGGACTTGCAGAGCTATCCAGATCACTCTGGTAAACTGTTTCTCCCAGTTCTGATCTAGTTTCCAAGACCCACTTAGAAAATAAAATTATCTGGGGGTGGGGGAAATCTTTTCTGTGGGAATTTCTTTTCCAGTGGCACAGGGCCAAATCACATGTCAGTTCATGCTTCCCAGGGCCAAGGGTAAGGGAAGTGATCACTCGCAAGGTGTGGGTCTGCTGGTCAGAGTACACTCATGCCCTGGATGGCAGACTCCCATCGCAGTCTCCCAGGAATGTATTAGGGAAAAGACATGCCCTCCCACTGAACACTTCAGTGGGGTCATGCATGTGTATGTGTGTGAGGAGCTCTGGGGTGGAGGGCTCTGTTGAAGTCTGCATACAGGAGGATTTTTTGTGTGTAGGGATCTGGGATGTGAGGAGGACAACAGCTATGGAAGAAGAGAGAGTAATTTCAATGCCGCTAGCCCTACCATGTCCTTTTACTTAAGATACTTCCTATCAGTCTCTGGTTGATAAGAAAATGGGAAACGGTAAAATCACCTGTGGAATTCACACTCTTCCTGCCTGCTGGTTACCTAGAGGACAGTCAGAGGCAGTTCTCCATACAGCACTGGGCCCCCTCTGTCATGGTGTTGTCATGGTGGCACAGTGACACTTACTGTCTGCCTTCTTCTCTTTTCCTTTTTTTTTTAGGCCCAGGATACAACGGGGACACACGCTACGTCCCACATTCTGCTCACTTTCAGATGGAGGTAAAGTCATCCCTTCCTTCATCTATTTCACCAGGGAAATGGGATGAACAGGATGCTTTATATGAAGTTGCCTTCTGTATGGGATAGGCAGAGCTGGGCAAGCCCTGGGGCTGAGGAATCTTTGGTGGAATTGGGGTTGATGTGTTCATTTGGCGAGAGGGTGGCCCTGTCTGAGTGAGGCTGTGGTGTATCCCCGCTCACTGTTCATTGGCTATTGGGAGTGGTAGTGTAATCAATCCTGGGCAGGCGAGGGGCTCTCCCTAAATTGTGTAACACATAATTTTGGTGACTGTCAGGGCCCACTACTCACCCCCTTGGAACACTGAAACAAACATGCAAAATTAAGGACCCACCCATCCCTAATGCAATGTGTAACTTACGGACAGCTCCCTACCTGCCTCAGTGAAAACTCACTTTCCCACCAGGGATGATAGAATCTGTCAGAGCTGGGCTAGGCCTAATAGTTCATGTCTTAGCCATACTCCCTGCCCTGCACATGCCCTGCCCAATACAGGATTGTTCTCCATAGTCTATTCTAGAGTACTTTGTCCAGTCCTGTTTCAAAGGGCTCAATAAGCAATGTGGCTTCTGCCATTTCCCTTGGGAGACTGCTCCACAGCCTAACAGCTTGTGCTCTCGGGAAGTGTTTCCTGATACAGTGTACCAGGTCCCCTTTTACTCATTCTCATCCCATTTACTCTTCTCCAGTTTTGATGTTTGATCGCATGATTGTTTCCTTTTCAGAGCCTCAAACCCCAGCAGGAGTTCTCCATCCCCCGGCCTAAAACCCGGGTCAGTCCGTACGAGAATTACACCGGCGGGCAAGGCACCAAGTAACAGCCCAGTGATGAGCCAAGAGACAACGTACAAGCAGTAGGGACTCAGGGAAAGGCCATTGCTTCTATCCTGCTAAACAGAGACAGAACCAGACTGATAGGACTGCGGCTGATGAAAGGGACGGGCCCTTTTTCTTCCCCACCTCCCTTTGGCTTTACACATGCAGCACTTTAATTCCCTTACATTCATCCAGCAGAGCAATCCCCCTGCCTGCCCCTGTTCACTCAGTTCCCTGCCCTCAGTCATGTGACTGAGCTCAGCTGTTCTTGTCCAGAGGCAGTGGGTTCCTGATAGCTCCAGAGCTTCCTGCTGTAAGGCCCAGGAACCAGGAACCTTTTCAGCAGAGACTTTGACCCCAGGCCACTCAGTCCTGATCACCTTGGCATTCTTGTGCACACTGCCAGCTGGTAAACTGAAACAAGCAGGAATTTTCAGCAATCACCTTCCGACTGCCTCCCCACCCAGGTACCAAAGTCTCATGTATTGCTGAAAGTACCTGACCCATACAGCACTGATCCACCCAAGCACTGCAGTTTCTCCCATCTCCAGTTCCATAGCACTGACTGACAACTAGAGCTGGCTGGCAAAGAGAATTCTTTCTTTCTTTCTTTCTTTCTTTCTTTCTTTCTTTCTTTCTTTCTTTTATCCCAACTTTATCCCCCAATAGAGCTGGTTGGAAAATGGCAGGGGGGGAATTAATGAAAAGTTTTGGGGACATTATTTTTCATTGAAATTTTGAAACCTTCCACATTTCCTGACCAGCTCTCCTAACAGCTCCCTCCGTAGACATGCTGCTCACCACTGATTCCCAAATTCTGCCCCCAAGACAACCTTCCCAGCACTGACCACCAGCACCCCCACATTGCTCCTTCCCAGCACTGATTCCTAGTCCCTAGAACTCCGATCTTCCTAACCTGATTTCAGTGTCCCAGACCTCCTTTCTGAAATTGACTTCTGGTTCCTTCCAGTAGTGATGAGTCTGCAGAGTTGACTCTTCCTGGAGTCTGCGATGCATTTTGTAAATAGTCTTGTTTGCATTTATATATAAATACACAGACATCTCCAAGTGAACGGGCTTGGTATGTTAGTGGCTGATGATTCTATATTTATTTAATACTTTGTATGCGGAATATTTAATAAAAGCCTGGCTCGCAGAAACTGTCATTCTTCATCAGTGAAATGAACCTTCTAGTGCAGTGGAGGAGTAGGGGCCAGTATTTGTCATTTGTGACACTCCATGGGTTGTAGTGAGAGAGTTGGCATAAGTCCCTGTGAGGCAACAAGCACTGACCCCCTTAGGAGTTGTCATTGTGGATCAGGGTCAACTTTGTAAGGTGATGCGCTGTTGGAGAAGAAGATTTAGTAGTACTGGCTTCTCTGTGCTATAGTTCCAGACGGAAAAGGCGATTCAGATTGCCCGTTGCCCAAGAAATGAAGAACTCTAGAACCAGGCCCTACAAGACATGTGTGCAGAAGGCTGCAAGCATTGCAGCTTTGGATGTGCATGTGTGTGGGTCTGGATTATATTATTTGTGTCTTGTTCCACACTGAGCACACTGTCAGAATGTAACTAATAATAAATAAGAAGAAATAATAATGTGTATCTATTTATTTCAGTTTATAAAAATGCACCTGTCTAATGCTCTGGGCACATGTATCATATTTATTGAAAAATCTACAGACTGCGGCTAGAAGCCAATGTCCTAATAGACCTCCTGGATTCCCCATCTCCACCTATTTACTCAACCCTAAACGCAATCCTATGTACACTCACACTCTAGAAAACACCTCAGGAAACAAGTAGGCCTTGCAGTGTCAGCTGAAGTCAACAAATTCAGGCTCTGGAGAACCAACAGAAGAAGCAAACTCCACAGTAGTGGACTCCTCACAGTTGCCTCCTTCTCTCTAATCCCCTCACAATTAAACCAGGGAGCTGTTATCTGAAGCACCTCAGATAATCTTAATTTCTGTGGTTTTAAAACAAAGGTCATGTCTGCATTAGCAAAATTCAGACATGTAATTCACAACCAGCGCTAACTAGCAATGGTGGAAATGCTAATGTAAACCAGTCTCAGGTGTCTAACCATGGTCAGAGCCCAGTCTACACTAGCATTTCACCTGCTGCTTTCAGCAGTGGAGTTGCACTAGTGAAGAATCACAGGTGCAAATGTTGCTAGTGTTGACACACTTGGATAGACGTGTGGTCTCTTAAGGAAACCAGGACATAGCCCAATTAAGATTTTATTACTTAAAATAAATACCTGGAATTGCACACGGAAACCAAGGGTTGTCAGAACTATGTGCGTGTGAAGAGTGAGTAGGTTAGTAAGTGTAGAGAGAGGGAAACCAGTTAGGGATTATAGTGTGCTAGAATACTGTAAATACATACAAACCAGGGAATTGCACAGAACCTGCCTGTTTTATAAAGCCAGCCTATCGTACAATTTAGGACCAAGGACAAGCATGGCAGTCGGCAGAGCTTCACATCATGGGCCCAGGACATCCTGGAACCAAGGAGAAGAAGGGCAGGGTGGTATTCCCAGCACTCATGCAAGTGCTGGGAATACAGTGCAATGGGAATAAGAAGAGGCGTTACAGGGCTTCATGCACACGTGTAATAGGTGCAATAAAGACTGTAAGCCCTGGTCTACACTAGGACTTTAGGTCGAATTTAGCAGCGTTAAATCGATTTAAACCTGCACCCGTCCACACAATGAAGCCCTTTATTTCGACTTAATGGGCTCTTAAAATCGATTTCCTTACTCCCCCCCGACAAGTGGATTATCGCTTAAATCGACGTTGCCGGCTCGAATTTGGGGTACTGTGGACACAATTCGATGGTATTGGCCTCCGGGAGCTATCCCAGAGTGCTCCATTATGACCGCTCTGGACAGCACTCTCAACTCAGATGCACTGGCCAGGTAGACAGGAAAAGAACCGCGAACTTTTGAATCTCATTTCCTGTTTGGCCAGCGTGGCAAGCTGTAGGTGACCATGCAGAGCTCATCAGCACAGGTGACCATGATAGAGTCCCAGAATCGCAAAAGAGCTCCAGCATGGACCGAACGGGAGGTACGGGATCTGATCGCTGTTTGGGGAGAGGAATCCGTGCTATCAGAACTCCGTTCCAGTTTTCGAAATGCCAAAACCTTTCTGAAAATCTCCCAGGGCATGAAGGACAGAGGCCATAACAGGGACCCGAAGCAGTGCCGCGTGAAACTGAAGGAGCTGAGGCAAGCCTACCAGAAAACCAGAGAGGCGAATGGCCGCTCCGGGTCAGAGCCCCAAACATGCCGCTTCTATGATGAGCTGCATGCCATTTTAGGGGGTTCAGCCACCACTACCCCAGCCGTGCTGTTTGACTCCTTCAATGGAGATGGAGGCAACACGGAAGCAGGTTTTGGGGACGAAGAAGATGATGAGGAGGAGGTTGTAGATAGCTCACAGCAAGCAAGCGGAGAAACCGGTTTTCCCGACAGCCAGGAACTGTTTCTCACCCTAGACCTGGAGCCAGTACCCCCCGAACCCACCCAAGGCTGCCTCCTGGACTCAGCAGGTGGAGAAGGGACCTCTGGTGAGTGTACCTTTTAAAATGCTATACATGGTTTAAAAGCAAGCATGTGAAAGGATTACTTTGCCCTGGCATTTGCGGTTCTGCCTTTGCAAAAGGTTTCTGGGGAGGGCAGCCTTATTTCGTCCTTCATGGTAGGACACTTTACCACTCCAGGCCAGTAACACGTACTCGGGAATCACTGTAGAACAAAGCATTGCAGTGTATGTTTGCTGGCATTCAACCAAAATCCGTTCACGCGGTGGGAGGAGGCAAAATGCGACCTTGGAACGAAAGCACATGTGCTATGTATGTAATGTTAACAGCAAGGTTTACCCTGAAAGAGTGTAGCGACTGTTTTATAAAATGTGTCTTTTTAAATACCGCTGTCCCTTTTTTTTTCTCCACCAGCTGCATGTGTTTCAATGATCACAGGATCTTCTCCTTCCCAGAGGCTAGTGAAGCTTAGAAAGAAAAAAAAATGCACTCGCGATGAAATGTTCTCCGAGATCATGCTGTCCTCCCACACTGACAGAGCACAGATGAATGCGTGGAGGCAAATAATGTCAGAGTGCAGGAAAGCACAAAATGACCGGGAGGAGAGGTGGAGAGCTGAAGAGAGTAAGTGGCGGGCTGAAGAGAGTAAGTGGCGGGCTGAAGACAGGGCTGAAGCTCAAAGGTGGCGGCAGCGTGATGAGAGGAGGCAGGATTCAATGCTGAGGCTGCTGCAGGACCAAACCAGTATGCTCCAGTGTATGGTTGAGCTGCAGCAAAGGCAGCTGGAGCACAGACTGCCACTGCAGCCCCTCTGTAACCAACCACCCTCCTCTCCAAGTTCCATAGCCTCCACACCCAGACGCCCAAGAACACGGTGGGGGGGCCTCCGGCCAACCAGCCACTCCACCACAGAGATTGCCCAAAAAAAAGAAGGCTGTCATTCAATAAATTTTAAAGTTGTAAACTTTTAAAGTGCTGTGCTTAAAGTGCTGTGTGGCATTTTCCTTCCCTCCTCCACCACCCCTCCTGGGATACCTTGGTAGCCATCCCCCTATTTGTGTGATGAATGAATAACGAATGCATGACTGTGAAGCAGCAATGACTTTATTGGCTCTGCAAGCAATGATTAAAGGGAGGAGGGGAGGGTGGTTAGCTTACAGGGAAGTAGAGTGAACCAAGGGGCGGGGGGGTTCATCAAGGAGAAACAAACAGAACTTTCACACCGTAGCCTGGCCAGTCATGAAACTGGTTTTCAAAGCTTCTCTGATGCGTACCGCGCCCTCCTGTGCTCTTCTAACCGCCCTGGTGTCTGGCTGCGCGTAACCAGCAGCTAGGCGATTTGCCTCAACCTCCCACCCCGCCATAAACGTCTCCCCCTTACTCTCACAGATATTGTGGAGCACACAGCAAGCAGTAATAACAGTGGGAATATTGGTTTCGCTGAGGTCTAAGCGAGTCAGTAAACTGCGCCAGCGCGCCTTTAAACGTCCAAATGCACATTCTACCACCATTCTGCACTTGCTCAGCCTGTAGTTGAACAGCTCCTGACCACTGTCCAGGCTGCCTGTGTACGGCTTCATGAGCCATGGCATTAAGGGGTAGGCTGGGTCCCCAAGGATACATATAGGCATTTCAACATCCCCAACAGTTATTTTCTGGTCTGGGAATAAAGTCCCTTCCTGCAGCTTTTGAAACAGACCAGAGTTCCTGAAGATGCGAGCATCATGCACCTTTCCCGGCCATCCCACGTTGATGTTGGTGAAACGTCCCTTGTGATCCACCAGAGCTTGCAGCACTATCGAAAAGTACCCCTTGCGGTTTATGTACTCGGCGGCTTGGTGCTCCGGTGCCAAGATAGGGATATGGGTTCCATCTATAGCCCCACCACAGTTAGGGAATCCCATTGCAGCAAAGCCATCCACTATGACCTGCACATTTCCCAGGGTCACTACCCTTGATATCAGCAGATCTTTGATTGCGTGGGCTACTTGCATCACAGCAGCCCCCACAGTAGATTTGCCCACTCCAAATTGATTCCCAACTGACCGGTAGCTGTCTGGCGTTGCAAGCTTCCACAGGGCTATCGCCACTCGCTTCTCAACTGTGAGGGCTGCTCTCATCTTGGTATTCATGCGCTTCAGGGCAGGGGAAAGCAAGTCACAAAGTTCCATGAAAGTGCCCTTACGCATGCGAAAGTTTCGTAGCCACTGGGAATCGTCCCAGACCTGCAACACTATGCGGTCCCACCAGTCTGTGCTTGTTTCCCGAGCCCAGAATTGGCGTTCCACAGCATGAACCTGCCCCATTAGCACCATGATGCATGCATTGGCAGGGCCCATGCTTTCAGAGAAAT